CTTTTTGTCTTTATGTTGTGATGCCTGTGCATACGGTATTTACCCTCTGGTAGGTGACTGGTCACACAAGTTAAATTGTTCATATGTGTAGATTTACATGGCATTAATGATAAAGTTAACTCTCTAACTCTCCACTTTTAGAAGGCAGTTACTGGTACTGCTGGCCAGCTCTTCAAAATTTCCACTGCCTTGCAATACTATAATCTAATATTACTGTATGGTATGTTATTTTACTTTAACTTTGTTATTTACTGGTATGTATGAATCTTCCCAATAAATAAACCCTGTATGTTTTTTTCAGGATTCAAACTGATACAATGGTGTCATTTTAAACCTTGAGTCATTCATTCTGATCCACTTTGCTTAGGCGTCCATTAATCCTGTCCGGCAGTTGTTGCATGTGGTATATCTGCTAATGGGTAAAGATTAACAGAGCAAATGAAAAGAAAACAGAGAATAAGGAGACTTCATATTAAAATATGAGCAAATATACTTATAAAACAGAGGGAATTAGAAATAAAGGCCTCTCTCTAATAAAAGCCTGCCTCCAATAAGGGCCTGGTATCCTGGGCAGTTGAGTTAAATAAAGGCCCCAGTCACTATTTGAGGAAATAGGGTAAACACAAGGCTGCTGCAACCGGTTTCTGTCAGGCTGAGAAGCTGTCATCGGACGACCTGAATAATTTACTTTCACAGGCATCAGCAAAGGTTGTGTCTCTTGGACTGCGCAATATTGAGTGGGCTGGTGGGGAGGACGCTGGCGCTGCCTGTTCGCCGCTTCTCCACTCGAGCCAAAATAACGTAGAGTTTTTAATAAGCAAACTTTTTAAATAACCATTTACCATCTGCGCCACCGACCAGTGGACCTTTTTGGATAGTTACCAGGTAGATGCTATTCAAGTCTAGCGGTGGCCTACCTGTTGCTGCTAGCACAACACCGCTTGGAGACTCCCTGGAACTTGTTATTTTCGCCGCTGCTACCGCGGCCGAAAAAAATCTCCTCCTGGACAGCCTGGACTCAGCTTGTCCCTGCCATCGTGAAGTGCATCTGGGAAGCCTGAAATCACCCATCGCTGCCGCCGCCGCAGAGTTGGAAGTCTGTGTAGCATCCTGGCTACACGGCTAAAAACAACCTGCATTCCTTCCACGCCGGCACCACTATGTTGAGTTACTCCGTCAACCAGCTGATGAATCTCAACAGTTTCTTCACTCCACCGTGCATTACAGTGATTAAACAACTAGGACTTCTCCGCCGTCTGCGCTACATCCACAGAAGTTCCAGCAGAAAGTTTGTCTGGAGCAAAACTTCCTCCAAGTCAACAGCTCCAAAACCGAAGCCATCCTGGTTGGCACACCTCACCAGACTAAATCATCATCCATAACCAACATCACCTTTTCTGGCTCCAACATCCCCCTCTCGTCAACAGTCACAAATCTTTGTGTAAAAATGGACCACCAGCTCACCTTTGAATCCCATATCAACCACCTTTGCAAGACCTCCTTCTACCACCTCCGTAACATTGCCAAACTCCGCCCCATTCTCTCCCTCTCAGATGCCGAAAAGCTGGTTCATGCCTTTATCTCCTCCAGTCTGGATTACTGTAACGCACTTCTCATCGGGACTCCTAGCAAGAGCCTGCAGAGGCTCTGCAGCTAGGATCCTGATGAGACTGCGGAAACATGAGCACATCACCCCTATCCTCTACTCACTCCACTGGCTTCCCGTCTCCACCAGGATTGAGTACAAGGTTTCCCTCCTCACACACCAATGTATCCATGGACATGCCACCCC